TCCTTGCCGCCACATCCTCCAAGGACTTCCTAATTGGCACTGGATAGATAGTTTCCTGTTCCTGTTAGTTCAATGCAGGGTTGAAATGATAGTTATTGGTAGTCAACATACTAATTGTTGGAGTGTCAGTAGCCACTGTTCTACAGAGTCAGAGGTTAAAGTGTATATCTGGCCATCCTTTCTGGAGCGGAGTATCATGAAGACATCTGAATCACATATAATGGAGTATTCCTTAACTTTCTTAAATAACCCCTTTCTGCGGCGGATTCTTTGTTGATTCTTTAACCTCTGGCTCTGTGATTGACCCTTTTTGGGGATCTGAGTCTTCTGGGTCATCATGATTGGTCACTAGCAGCTTTTGGATGTTGCTTGCAGTTCAGGGAAGTGGAGGACAAGGAGATGTTAGCAGTTAGAGAAGTCCTGGTATTTATATCTCTTCAATATCGATCTCTATTCCAGAAAGTGTCTTTTTCGCCTTTTTTATGGTGTCAGTCCTCCTGAGGGTGGCTGATCGCCTTGATTCGCAGCTTAGCCACCATGTATCTGCCTGGCTAAAATGATTGGTGGATTTTAGCATCTGGAGAACATTTATTTAATTACCTCTCCTGGAACTGTGGCCTCTTTTAGAGAAATCATGGAGCCTAAAAAATGGGAACAAAATTGGCCTCCTTTACTGCGAGTCCTTTTAGAGCTTGCGATCCTTTTTTAGAAGCTGGTACAAGTCTTATACCGCGGCAGGTTTTGATGTGATCCATTTTGCCGCAAGCCATTCCTGTTTGTTGGCGAATCTACAACAGTGTTGGAACTCTTGCCAGCACGGATTCTGTTCACAGGGAGATTATTAAGGTCAACCACTCGGACCGCATTAAATTTCCACCGGCAGCCAACCTACTAATTGTTGTTCTTGTGTTTCTCAGCTTGAGTACTGTCTACCATAGGGGATAGCTAACCATATGGCGTGGGTAACCATAAGGGTTCATTAACTGTATGGTAGACCACGGCGAGTGCTAATTTATCACCCTAGTGATCCCCCAGGGCGAGCGACCCTGCACGGCCAGCCGGGAAGGATGACGCTTCTTGGTGGGATAGTTGTGGTTAAGCGCCTAAACTAGTGTACCTGCAACCTGATTATCAATTTGTTGCCTTTGCGCAAAATAATACTAAAGCAACTTCCAGCTATTTCAATGTATATAATTGCATAATATTAAGATAAAAATGCCTGTATAGAACTTCTATACCTTCGTACCATAAATGGTGCATAATGGTCTACCATATAGTTCAGACTTATACCGCTCTTGCCTGGTGGGAAAGTTTATGAATTAGCTAACATTTTGGCTCCTCTGAAGACTGTCTATGCTGAAACTTCACCAACATAAATCCCAAATTTGATTGTCAGCTCCTCTAGGCAAAAGCCCGAAATACTCACCTGTTACAAGTGAGTGATGAAACAGAAACGGATCGCGGATTCCAAAACAGGAGACCAGATTGAGCGATTTTCAGTGGCGACAGCCGATGGGACACTCTTGCCAAGCTGGGAAGAGCGCATGGGTGATTCCGGGGTGATCTAGATCCACCAGTGGCTGAGGCGGGACTCAACCAGCTGATAACTTGCATGACATGTAGCTCTTTTTGGGCGTCATACGCTGACAGCGGCCATCGAACCAACAATTAGGGCTTCGTTTTTACCTGCTCGAAGAAGGGGTGAGTAACATCGTGGCGTGCAGCTCAGCAATGTCAAGGGTGGACCAAGTCGGGCCGAGCCGTCCACTAGGATGTGAATCGCGGTCATCAGCAGGGCTATGAGCTGCTCACCTTGCGTTGTGGCGCAACAATTCTTGCCGTGCGGCAGTGCTTGCACTACTATAAATGCTGTGGCAATGCCCTAGGGGCGATTTGCCGTTTTAGGAATGCTACATTTGATGATGTTCAATATTGACACATCAAGGCTTAAAAAAGCACCACACGAGAACTCTTTTTGTACTTCGCTTCCAGTGCTCAACAAAGACTTCACATATGGCCATCCACTGGCCATCTCCCTTTTCGTCACTCGAGCGTGACCTCATCGAAATTTTTATAATTGCCAGACGATCCTCTGATAGATGACTTCCAAGCTCAATCAAAATGAATCACTCCTGACAACAATCTTCATGCATACCATATTGCTTGAGATTTCAGGTATATTCATTCCTTCCCACTGTTTCTTACACAGACATACTTACTACTAACATTTCATCGCTCTGATGGTCTTGAGAGACATGAAATATAGACTAACCACTAACCTTCCTTTCATAAGTAATCACAGTTTTGGGATTAGCAAGCATTAGATTTTATCCACTCTGTTAAAATGCATGTTGTCGAACACTGGTCATCCGATCAGAAATAGACTAGTCAAGATCCAAAATAATCCACGCTCATGTGTACTCAGCTGAACAGTTTCCGCGGAACGGTTCTGTCCACGGACTGGATGTTTCCAAGGAACAACTTCACAGAAAGGCCCTGTCCATGGAGTGGTCTCCGTGGAGTGAATGTTTCCAAGGAACAATTTCCATGGAACTGTCCTGTCCATGGTGTGATCTCCATTGAGTGATCCTGATACTATGTTCTATATCTGAGCCATAGATCGATCGAGATTTCAAGATTGGTGGACTGAACGCTCTGTGGCAGTCATAGTTCTATTCTGACATCATAACCTTTGCTACCGAGTTGTGCTAGCCGGTCAGCACGACAAGTAGGTATGCTTCAGTCCAGTATACTCCGTACACCAGATAGTATCCGGAATGGTACATGGAGCGGTGAGTTGGCAGAGATACCATCGAAAGGGACCCTAAATAGTATGCGGGATGGTATATCCCGGAAGGAGTATATAAAGGAAACTGTTTACCATCGTGTATATATGTTTGGTCTTCGCGTTTAATTACAATATATATGTACTTTGTTGATTACTACAAACTACCATTGGTATACACAGTACAATCACATGAATTCTCTGTCACGTGGATATGAGACAGGTGTGTTATTAAACCATTACCTTATTCGGTGTGGTCAGGGGCCGACGTCGCTTACCTGTAACTCCGAGCGCCCCCGAGCAGACCCCTAGGAATCAGAATCATCAACCCTTTTATTAACGTGTTTCGAGCCGAAGGTCAGCTGGACTTGCTGCACCCCTCTATAGCTCCTTTTCCATCCTACAGGAAACCAGTTTCAATATTGAATTGACTTTCAAATCTAAACTTTCGACTTTCTTGGAATTCCGGATGCGCTTTTTCATCAGTCTCCATGACTGGCCAGTATGGTCTACGTTATGGCACTGGATTTCTTATCCTTCCAAAGGGTACTACGTCTATTCTTCCCATTTATGAAGAGACTGCCGGATGTTGAAGAGTTGGCAGGGGTTTCTCAGGAAGTTGTGTTGCCATCTAAGCTGCCACAACGCGAACTGCTTATGGTTGGCATGAGCGCCAAAACTTACCGCATCCGAGACACAATCAGAAAGGAATGTCATGTTCTTCCCGACGATGTCGGCATTACAGAGCAGAACATGGAAGCATGCCGTAATGAAGCTGACGTCTACCTCATTTTGGGAAAACACCCGCTCATTGCCACATGCTTGTCTATTGGTCCCCATAAGGACTACATCGATCTTGAATACTATCAAAATGGCAATCTTAAGCAATATGTCAACAGCAACCGTGCAAGCATTACACAGGCCGACCTGGGCCTATCAAATGATTGAAAGCATCGCATATATTCACTCAAAGGGCGTTAGGCATTCTGATATCAGGCTTGATCAGTGGCTGGTAGATGCAGGTTTAAATGCCCGCCTTAGCGACTTCAACGCGTCGGGATTTGACCCCCAGCCAGACCTCGGATTAGAAGCGAGACCAGCACTAGGAATTGAGAGTCCAAGTCATTGTCTTCCTCGAGATCCTGAGGCAGACAGTACTGTGGAATCAGATCTATTTGCACTGGGTTCATCACTCTACGAACTTGTGGTTGGTCAAAGTCCCTACGAATGCTTGAGTGACAAATCCATTGAGTCATTGTTTAGAGAAGAGAACTTCCCAAGCACCGAGGGGCTTCTGCTTGGAGAGATTATTAGGAACTGCTGGAAAAGAAGATATCGCTCTGCCAAAGATATCCTTGATTCAGAAGCATGGTCATTCCCCAACTCGTCTGTCAAATGACATTAGAACAAAGATAACATTGTTGGTTTCGATACCCAGTCAGACAATGAATAAAGCAGTAGACTAGGGTCACCACGGTTATACAAGATAGCATGTATAGCCAAATAGATCCAAATCCATCACCACAATTGATGGCACGTGACCATGTGAGCATAACGGGCAACTGTTCTAGTGGATGGTGCATCTCTGGAAAACACGTCAGCAAGCAACCGAACCCCCCCCTCCCCCCCCCAAAAAAAAAATTCAAGGTTCACTGTATCTGTTCCAACTAATCACAATCTCCAAACATTTTAAATAGTACACTGACCAAAACCTTTTTTTTTGGTGGCTCAACTTTAGAGAAATGTTGACCACTTTCTTGTTTTACCCTCTCTGTCCATTTTTGGGGACCAAATCTCATTCTTCATATCTCTTCTGCCGTTTTCCCGCTTGTTGAGCCCGCGCTGTTTGAGGAAGTTCTTGATGGTCCTGTTGTTTTCTCTTCCGATCTTCTCTTTGCTTTTTTCTCTCCTCCGCCTCCTCTAGAGCCTTACGTTTGTTCCACGCCTGAACTGAGGCTCTGTCTTCTCGATAATATTCAAGAGAATCCCTCAATTGACGCTCCAGTGCTTCTAGAGGCAGCTTGTCTTCAAGTTCACAAAATTTCTGACGAAAAGTTTTGCCAAGGGACCCAGCACCATAGAAGGTTTTGATAAACTTGCCCTCTGGAAGAGGTTTGTTGAGGGAGAATTCATAAGTCCATAAAGAAGGGGGGAGTTGTGTTGAGTCTGGATGGCATGTTTCTCTCGTACAGAACCACATCTCAGCAGTAAAGGTTCCCACAAGTGAACAGTTTCCATGGTCCTGATCCCACCTGATGATATGGGCAGTGAGGGCATCGTCAGTCTTGAAACGTTGAAGAATCTCTGCGTCTGATAAGCCCCAATACGAGTCTTCTTTGCTATCGTTTTTACCACTTTGCTCCTTGATATCGATTGCAATCACTAGCTCGGTGATGTTGTTGGTTCCATACAACCAGGCCTTTGCATCTTCAAGCAAATCTTTCCTGGTCGATGAGAAAGCAACTTCAAGAGCTATCAAAGGACGAAAGGACCCCTTCTCCACGATAGAACTGTCAGGCGCCTTAAAACGGCCTCGGTATTTTCCGCTGGTAAGACAGAAGGCTAGTTGAATATGTTAGTAACTATATTGGATTGATCCTGGCATCTGTCACTCACTTTTGTCCTGATAGATTGACAGATTCATATTATCTTCCTCTTGAACCTTTCCCACTACCTCTTTAAACCAGTCACTTATGACATTAACTGTCTTTCCATGCACAGGGCCTTGTCGCGCCTCAATAATGATGCTTTCAAGGTGGGCATCATATTCAATGCCGCCCAGGTCATTCTCATTGCTCCAGATTGTAAATTCCTCGGGTTTAACCTCAGGAGTTGTATTCAGTCTGAAATATTCCCTTAACTTGAGATTATTTATCACATACCTTAAATTTGTCAATTACTATCCTTCCAACAATTGCGTTCCGCAGCGCCTCCACAGTATCCCTCTTTAGGTTCTGAATCGATTCAACCCCTTCAAGGATGTGATCGATGGCATCCTGCTGAGGATCCATTGTGCATACCTGCAAAAGTTCTTTGGTCTTGGGCCTTGCTTGTTTGCACTGGTCATGATCGAGGAGAGCAGCCTTATCAGACTTTATCAGTTCCGTCTGAGGGTTTAGACATGAGATTGGTCTTTGTGCCAAAGGGAGGGGCCTGAGAAATTGGTTTCCTGATGGATTTGAAAGTGCTTTGGCTCTTAACAGGGGTAGATGGCAGAGCCCCTGGCTCATGACTCGACCGCAGGCCATTCTCACGAGGACGTAATGCAGAAGGTGAAAAGAAGAGAGTTTTCGTGTCACCAATGACAGACGTCATTGCCTCTTCTTTGTCACTGTGAGGGATCTAGAACCTTGGCAATGCCAATATGATGAATATACACCCGGGGAATTATTCTGCAACTGATGGAAAAGAGGGATCTATACCATTGGCATTCCCTTGCAGATCCTATGGCAAGTTCTAGATGGGCCAGGTTATATATCTTATAATCATGCTGCTCTTGTCTCACTTTCCTTTTATTTATCTCACTGGTCTGTATCTACTGATAGAAAGCTTCCCAGCCTGAGGAGAGCTGCACATGAGATAGAGAGCCTGCTTGAAGGACTTTCTTTGTCTTCAAAGAGTAAAAAACAACATGAACTTTAGTATGTCTCTAGAATTACAAATGTAAAG